ATGAGATATCAGGCAGTGCATTTTGGAGGTCTGCTTTGTTATTATCAGAGTTTAAGAAAATTGTCAAGAGATGGGATGAGAAGAGAAGAAAGCAGGTAATGTGAGTGGCACAAGTGAGCAGCAGGCACTTTAGAGAAGGTAATAAGATAAAGCAGTTTTGCATTGTTGTGTGGCAGTGGGAAAAAATATTTTTGGGTATTCTTGAAAACATTTGAATTTATAAGTTTAAAGGAGCCAGAGTTATGTTCTGGTTCCTGTGCTTTATAATTGTTATTATAGAAAACAGAAAAAGAGAGCAGGAAAGAATTCTCATCACTGATTCACTCCCCAAATGGCTTCAACAGCCGGAGCTGGCCAGTTTGAAGCCAGGTACCAAGAGCGTCTTCCAGGTCCCCCATGTGGGTGCCGGGATCCATCCATGTATTTGAGCCATCTTTTGTGTCTTTCCCAGGTACATTAGCAGGGAGTTGGATCAGAGGTGGAGCAGCTGGGACTCCAGCTAGCACCTCCATGGCTCCAAGGCAACGGCCTTCCCCACTATACCACAGCTCCAGCTCCTCTTTACCTTTCAGATAAATGTAAAGAAAAAAAATATATAGGCTAATCAGGATAAGGGATACGAATTAGGTCTAATAGTAACAATGATAAAAGGGACCAGTGCTGTGGCAGAGTAAAGCTGGCACCTGCAGTGTAGGCATCCCATATGGGTACTGGTTCTAGTTTTGGCTGTTCCATTTCCATTGCAGCTCTCTGCCAATACACCTGGGAAGTCACAAAGTGTTTTAAGTGGTTGGTTCCATGTACCACTGTGAGAGACTTGTAAGAAGCTCCTTACTCTTGGATCCTGGCTTCAGACAGGCCCAGCCAGCTCTGTCTATTATGGCCATTTGGGGAGTGACAGAATGATGGAAGATCTCTGTGTCTTTTTCTGTAACTCTGCCTTTCAGATAAATATATAAATTTGTAAAGAAATCAATAATGAACAGGATGCCTGGATCTGTATCAGAGAATCTGGGCCAGCTTTTGAGTATTTTTTTTCTCTCCCTCCCACTTCCCCTCCTTTCAGATAAATAAATCTGTTTTAAAAATGGCATAGCAACACAGATCTCCCTGAATGGCTGCATGAGCTGGGTGGAACCAGACCAAAGCCAGGAGCCTCAATCCAGGTCTCCCATGTTAGTGGCAAGGACCCAGGTGTTTGAGCCATCACCTGCTGCATTTGAAGGTGCATGTCAGCAGGGAGCCAGGGATGCAGGCACTGCTGTGTGGGATGTTGCATTCACAATAACCTCTTAACCGGTGTGCCGAACACTTGGCTTCTGATTGGTGGCTAATAGATAAGATGGATATAGCTGTATGTAGCTGAAGTGTAAATCTTATGAGATGTGCATTGTCACACTATACTTTTTTTAAAAATTAATTTGACTTTCAACAAAGATTTATTTACTGGCAAGAATTTATTGCACACCAGAGTGCAGGCACTGATTCGCATTCATGGTGCTTCTCAACCACAAAATCCCCTTTACTCAGAGGGATATATTGTGCTGTAGGAGTGGGATTCACTTTCACAGTGTGACTCAGCAAGTAATTAACTATGACTGTGGCTCGCTCTCCCTTGTGAGTTTGGCTCGCTCTCCCTTGTAAAGTTGGAATCTTAGGGATTGGGATTTTGAGAGCATACTTCTCACATTCTAATAAAATAGAAAGAGCTGTATGCAGCAAGTCTGACTTTTATGGGAGAAACATAAGCTTTCAGTACTTTGCTGTAATTTACATACCATCCCTTTTAGAAGTGTGCAATTCAGTGGTATTTACTATATATACAGCCTTCATGAGCATTGCCAGTAATCAATCCCAGAGCACTTAATTTCACTGAAAGAAACCCATGTGGCCAGCAGCATTAATCCCTCTCAGCAGCCTCATTAATGTTCTTCCTTTGGGTTTTTATATAAATGGGGTCATACCCATTTACTACCTTTTGTGGATGATTATTCAGCCTTGTAAAGGATGGTTTTAGTGTTTTTGAAGTGTGTTCACTTTTAAAAATAAGCACACAACACCTCTGTGAGGTAGAGGAAGGTTGTGACATAGTTAGGTTGTCAGATTGAGCCTGTCTTTGTGACCTGAACCCACCACAGAGAGACGGAGGGTGGTTCAGAGACAGCTGGGTGCAAGTTTGGGGAAGTAGTGTTAAAAGCCAAAACAGGGCGTGATGATGGAAGAGAAACGATTTGCTCTGTGGAATATCTGGGACCTTGAATAATTATACTCTACTGAACTGTAGCTGCCATTAAATACTTCAGCTGTATTTAAGAGTTTGAAATTAGGAAATGAGTTGCTGAGTCTTCAGTAGTTACAGGGCGACTCTGATTTCACGGAGCTGAAAGGCTGTCAGAAATGTGTTCTTGCTTCTTCCCGACCCTTTAAATGGATGCCTGTCGCTGCAGTGTGCAGAGGGGGTATGATGAACTCGTTTGTCTTAATTAGTTAGGGCAAAATAGCCACTTGAATAAGGGGCTTCTGTGTAATGGAAATATAAGACATTAATTCTTGGCATTTATAACTGTATTTGACATTAATAGCTGGTTAAAAAAATAGTAAAACGTACCAATTTCATAAATTTTTATGCAGTAAGCTTTCTGTTTAAAAAATACAGTATCCTTTTGGGATGCAAATTATTGCTGTTTCACAAATGAATTTCTAATTGCAGCTGTAGATAAGAGCAATAGGCTAACGAATCATACAGCAGGGTATCTGGTTGCTGACCATGGCTCCTACTGTGTCCTGGCACAAAGAAAGCTTTGACTAAATATTTAAAAAAAATACTTGTTTTATTTTTTTATTTGGAAGATAGTTACAGAGAGAAGGAAAAACAGAAAGATCTTCCATCCTCAAATGACCACTCTGGCTGGAGTTCAGCTGAACCAAAGGCAGGAACCAGGGGATTCTTCCAGGTTTCCCACGTGGATGCAGGGTCTCAAGGGCTGGGGCCATACTCTAGTGCTTTCCCAGGCCACAAGCAGGGAGATAGAAGGGAAGTGGAGCAGCTGGGACATGATCTGGTGGCCATATGGGATGCTGGCTGGGACCAGTGGCTGAGGCTTACCTTACTATACCATGATGCTGGCTCCTCCACATTCTTTGGTTTTTACCTGGCCTTAGCACTGATGAACTGTAGTAATCTATGAATTGGCAAGACTTAAAAAATATATATTTGGAAGAGCTAGAGAAAGAGAGAGAATGACAAGTCTTTCAATCTCTGGTTCACTCTCCAAATGGTCCCAGTGATTAGGATGGGTCAAGCAGAAGCCGGGAGCTTCTCCCAGATCTCCCACATGAGTGCAGGGGGCCAAGCACTTAGGCCATCCTTGGTTATTTTCCCAGTCCATAGGCAGGGAACCAACTGGATTGGAAGTGGAGTAGCTGGGACACAAGCTAGTGCCAAATGGGATGCGAGTGCTAAAGATAGCCACTTAGCATGGTATGCCACAACACCAGCCGCCAAAACTTCTTTTGCTTGTATGCAGGTGCAGATGATTTCCCTCAGGCTTTTTTCTTGTGCATCTCAGTCTTCCCTCTGCTTATATCACTTGAATGTGTATTTACAAGACCCAGAGATGGAAAGAGAGCTGCCACCACTGCTTCACTCCCCAGGTAGCAGTCATAGCTGGGATGCTGGAGCTGTAAAGCAGGGTGTCTTTCAGTCCTGGTGTGCCCTATGAGTGTCAGGAACCTGATTACTTCAACTGTCACTGCTGCCTCCTGGAGTCCGCATTAGCAGGAAGCATGACCTGGGTCCTTGGAGATGGGACATGGCTTCTGATGATTCCTCAGCTTTGAATTAAAAAAAGAATTTTTATTTATTTGAAAGTCAGTGTGACAGATGGAGAAATACAGATAGAATGAGAATCTTCCATACGCGCTTCTCTCCCCAGATGGCCACAACAGCCAGATCAGGGCCAGGCTGATTCCTGGAACCAGAACTCCATCCCGGTCTCCCCCATGGGTGGCAGGGGCCCAAGCAGTTGGGCCATCTTCCACTGCCTTCCCGGGAGCCTTAGCTAGAAGGTGGATCTGAAGCAAAGGGCTTGAACAGGTCCTCTGGTATAGGGTGTGAGCATTCCAGGAGGTGACGTAACCATTCACTGTAGCATCTATTGCTCAAATGTTTTCGACTAAGACCTCAATACCGAAATATATTTCATGCACTGACTCAGCCCACCTACTTGTATGCAAAAGTACGATACATTTTAATATATGTGCAACCAAAGGAAAAACTTCATCACATGGTATATATTTTACTTTTTTCTGCTTAAGATATAACTTCTTCTGAATTTTTCTGGAGGAGCTCTTCGTCCATCCATCGTGACTCAGCTCCTTGTATGACTTTGGTAGAAGACACGGGGTCGTACCAGCAGGTCTCAGATTGGAGGTGTCCCATCATTTGGGACTTCAGTGACATCCATGTTTGACTCCCTTGCTGTGTGAGTGGCACAGCTCGACACACAATGCATCTTCACATGCAGCTTGGAAGGCATGCTGGTGTCAGAGGCACTCTGTGGCTGCAGGCTCACACGTGGGGCTCAGCTCTCGGAGCAGGTGGGCTGCACATGGCCACATGGTGTCACGACTGTCATCTCTTTTTCCTCTTGGAGGAATGGAACTGATCCGCTCTTTCTCCTTTTTTTTTTTTAAACCATTCTGGTCTTACTTATCCAAAGTATTGTTATCACACGCTGGTGGGTTTCAGTTTGTGGTTTGGTCTGTTCATGTTCCAAGACTGAAATAGATAGTTTCTGAAAGCTTGGTGTTAGGGAAATGGTTCCTGAAACAGGGTTTACCTTGGTTAACTCAAAAAGAATGTTGTGATGCAAAACTTTTTTTTTTTTTATCTTTAGAAAAATGTGTGTATGTTGTGATGTCAAACTTAACAGGGTTATCAAGTTCTTGGTTGTGAAAGCAATGAGGTAAATACATGCACCTTTTGTTTTTGTCCTTAGGTGGCGACAGACAAGGTTGCAGAAAAGCTGAGTTCTACTCTCTCATGGGTGAAGAACACTGTAACGCATACTGTCAGTCAGATGGCCAGTCAGGTGGCAAGTCCATCGGCTTCATTACACACTACATCCTCATCTACCACACTGTCAACACCGGCCCTTTCGCCATCTTCCCCTTCCCAGCTGAGTCCAGACGACTTGGAACTCCTGGCTAAGCTGGAGGAACAAAATAGGTAAGTGAAGTTGCTTTTTTTGGTTTTGTTTTAAATTTTATTTTTAATGTTTTTTACATAGTTGGAGAGATGCACACCCATGTAGGCCTCTGATTAGGGTGGGTACAGTCAGGTATGGAGGAAGGTGGTAAGATAAATGTTTCGATTTTTTTCCCCTCTTATATCCTTGGGGTAGGGGAGGAAAGGAGCCATACCTTGCTGTCAGACTACAACACCCGGGGAAAGGGGCAGTCGTTTGGTGACATCTCACTGACCCTGAGGGGCAAATCGTGTTCCAAGGGTATTACATGAGTGATTTTAATAGTTCTGAGCTGTTGTTAGCTTCGTTGCACCAGGATTGAGAAAATCTTTCCAAGGTTCTGTTGTTTGACCAAGACCACATTAGTGTGTCCCCAACCCCAGAAACAAACTGCAGAGCTTTGCCAGGGGAGTGGTCCTACCTGTTCTGCTCTCCATCCTTTGAATTGGCACTCAGTGTCCTCTGCTGGCCTAGGTAAGCTGGCTCTCATGTCCTCATGTGCATCTGGGCATGCCATCCACTGTGCAGGCATCAGCAACTGAGGAGGCCCCAGACACATGCACTTCAGGGTTGGACCACATATGTTGTGATTTTCCCGGTGGCTGGGGTTTGAGTAGGGAGGTCTAGTTGGGATATGCCCCAAGAAATCTCGCCTGGGGTGACCTCAGACTTGACTTTTATGTGCATCAGTGAGTGTGGGGTCAGGTTCAGTCTTTCACCTGCGCCAGCTGACATACATACTGGTGAAGCAGCTACCTGACCATTTTTGCCCTCAGCCCCATCTCTCCCACGAACTGATAGTACTGTTGCCTAGCCCAGCCCAACCGGCCACAGGGTCCAGGCTTCATGAGCACCAGTAGGTGCTGTGGCCTAGTCGGGGCAACCCCCAGTAATCACTACCAGGTCCCCCTCCCGTCCCCAATCTCAGTTTTTGCACGTACCAACATGTGCTATGGCTTAGCCAGGTCAGCCCCACATCCCATCTGGCTCTTGGCTGTTGAGCACACCCATAGGTGCTATGGCTTAGCTCAGCCTGACCTGTTTCTAGACCCAGCCCACACATATGCCAATGGGTGCTGCTACCTTAACTAGCCTGGCCCCGCCCCAGTCTTGGCTCTTACACTCAGCAGCAGAAGCTGCAGCCCTCCAGGGGAGTTCTCCAATTCCCCTAGCAAGCCTGCCTCCAGCCCTGGATCTCAGGTGCCGGCAGGTGCAGCAGCCTGTTTGGTGTGGTCTGTCTTTAGTCCTGCTTCTTGCATGTGCCAGCAGGTGCTACATCCTGGCCCGGCCCAGTCCCTTACCATCCAGCCTTCTGTGAATATAGGGTGAGTTCTGTGGTCCAGCCTGGCTCAGCCCATCACTACCCCCAGCTCTCCTCACAGATCAATAGAGCCATGAGTCCCACATGTCCTCGGCAAAATCTGCTCTCAGATTTTTCTTGGTTCTGGTGGATCTGCATCCTACCTGATGTTGCCTAGCCTCTACTCTGACAATAGTGAGTGGATACTGTGGCCTAGACCAGCCAGGCATGTCCCCTCAGCCTCAGTTTTTGTGTGTGCCAGTGGGTGGTTCACGATGTTATTTTGCCCTGTCTAGGTCTCTGGCCTGACCCAGACTGTCCTCTGGTTTTCCGCCTAAAAACACTGTCTCAGCTCCCTCACCTACCTGCAAGAACAGTGCCTTGATCTGTGGAAGACCCTAGAAGTTATTCCTCCCCCGTTAAACATGTCCTCAGCTGTTCCCACTCCTATACGTCCCCAGACCCGTTTCCCTGGGCAGTCTGCAGCCACCCTGGGGGCCAACGTGGCAGGCAGGTCCTGGCCTGGTACTCCTCAGTCTCTCCAGTTAACACAAATTTGGCATAAACCAGGCCCAGAATACCCACCAACTATTTTTTTCTAAAGATTTATTTATTCTTATTGCAAAGTCAGATATACAGAGAGGAGGCAAGTCAGAGAGGAAGATCTTCTGTCCAATGATTCACTCCCCTAGTGAATGCAATGGCTGGAGCTGTGCCAATCCGAAGCCAGAAACCAGGAACCAGGAACCAGGAGCTCCTCCAGGTCTTCCGTATGGGTGCAAGGTCCCAAGGCTTTGGGCCGTCCTCGACTGCTTTCCCAGGCCACAAGCAGGGAGCTGGATGGGAAGTGGAGCACCCCGGATTAGAACTGGCACCCATAGAGGATCCCAGCACTTTCAAGTTGAGGACTTTAGCCACTAGGCTACTGTACCGGGTCCACTCACCAACTATTGGCTGATTTTCTCCTAGCATAGCACTTAGCTAGATACAAGGCAACCTAGGCAGTTGTCTACAGTTGGAGACTTGATTCTTTTCTTCTCTAATTACTGAGTAACTCCAGCCATATGTATCTCTCACAAGGATGTGCATATGTACATATACGTATATGTCATAGTTAGAATTGTGAAACCTTACAATAAGTTGTATTATTTTCTGGTTTTGGGGTCTTTGTTTATTGAAGTGACTTTAAAAATTTGCGTATTTATTTGAAAGGCAGAATGACAAAGAGATTTTCTATCTGCTGGTTCACTACCAGTTAAATCGAGGAGCCCAGAGCTCCATCCTTGATCTTCCCCGTGGGTTTTGGGGCCCAGGTACTTTGGCATCATTTGCCGCCATTGCAGGTGCTTCGGCAGGAAGCTGTATCAGAAGCTGAGCAGTCAGTACTCAGGTGGAATTACAGATGGTGTCTTAACCTGCCATACTGCAGTGCCAGCCCCTCAAGTCTCTATTTATTTTTAAAGGGAGTTGATCTTAAAACAGACTAGAACTTTCTTCACAGTCAGATGACTTTAGAGATTTTGTATTCACGAAAATCCTTGTTGAATTTTACCAATTTTTAAAGGTAAATAAAACTACCTTTTTAGAATTCCCTAAATTGTCCTACTTACCCACTTAAATTTCTTAAGCTGTAAGATAAACGAATGTGGATTTCTGATGTATGATTTGAAGAGGGAAGATAACCTTTTCTTACTGTGGCTGTGGAGTTGTGTTTGCTGTCGGGGGAGCCTGTGCCCTGGATCTTGTGTGCCTCTTGACTGGTGGTTGGTCATCAGAACTCTTTAGATCATCATCCACCAAGGCTATGGGGAAGAATAACCATTGGAGCTTAGTCTTCGATACCAAAGATACCTTTTTACTTAAAATTTTTTTTTAAAGGTTTATTTACTTACTTTTTTACAAAGTCAGATATAGAGAGGAGGAGAGACAGAAAGGAAGATCTTCCATCCGATGATTCACTCCCCAAGTGAGCGCAATGGCTGGTGCTGTGCTGATCCGAAGCCAGGAGCCAGGAGCCAGGAACTTCCTCCAGGTCTCCCACACGGGTGCAGGGTCCCAGGGCTTTGGGTCATCCTCAGCTGCCTTCTCAGGCCACAAGCTGGGAGCTGGGTGGGAAATGGAGCATCCCGGATTAGAACTGGCATTCATTTGGGATCCTGGAGCGTTCAAGGCAAGGACCCCAGCTGCTAGGCCATGGCACTGGGCCCAAAAATAACTTTTTATAAACCGCTTTTCTGATCCTTAGTTTCGACATATAGACATCCTTGTGAAATGCCCATCAAGTTGGAGAAAATGAAGTTCTTCATTGTTGTTTTTCCTGTCTTCAGGTAGCCACTGGAGATTAGTTCACATTTTCTAGAATTTTCTTTAATAGAAATGAATTCATTCAATCTATGTCATTTTTGCATGGATTGTTTCATTTAACATGCTTGTTTTGACAGTCATCACATCATAGCACATATCAATAATGTACATTACACATATTAGTAGTTTATTTCTCTTTTTGGCTTGTAGTACAGTGTTCCATTGACGGGTGTGTCACAATTGCTATGAAATGTTATAAATATGAATATGCCTTTAATATCTCTTGGGCAAATATATAGGGATGGAATGTCTAAGTCATTCTTGGCTGGGACCTCCAGGTGTAAATGTCAACACTGTTTTCCAGAGGTCCTCCACCTTTTCACATTCTTACCAGTGGTATATGTAATTTCTGGTTCCTTTATAAGTTTTTCAGTGTTTGGAATGATCAGTCTTTTTTTTTTTTTATTTTAAGTTTGAGGGCCTGGTGCAATGGCCTGGTGGCAGAATCCTCGCTTTGCATGTGCTGGTGGTTGGTTTCCAGTTCATGTCCCAGTTGCTCCACTTCTGATCCAGCTCCCTGCTTGTGGCCCAGGAAAGGAGTGGACGACCCCCCAAAGCCTTGGGACCCTGCACCTGCATGGGAGACCTGGAAAAAGCTCCTGGTTCCTGGCTTTGGATCGGCTCAGCTCCGGCCGTTATGACTTCTTGGGGAGTAAACCAGCACACAGAAGATCTTTCTCTCTATATATATGCCTTTCCAATTATAAATAAATAAGTAAATGAATAAATACAATTTTTAAAAAATGTTTGAGAGGCAGGGAGAGAGTTTGTGAGAGACAGGGAGAGTTTACGTACTCTGATTCCCTGCTCAGATGTTCACGAGAACTCGGTCAGGCTCGGACAAAGCTGGAGCCAGGAAGTCAGTTCAGGCTTCCGACACATGGGTGGCTGGAACACTTCCTTGAGCCATCACTTGCTTTCTTCTGGGGTATACATTATCAAAGAGTCTGGAGCCAGGGTTGAGTAGCCAGTCCAGGCACTCTGGGTTGTGGGTGTCTGAGTCAGCTTCCTCACCTGTAGGCTCAATGCCCACCTGTAATCACTCTTTTTATTGTTAACTATTATTTTACTTTTTAAGAAAAATTTATTTGAAAAGCAGAGTTAGAGAGAAAAGGAGAGAGAGAAATCTTGCATTCGTTGCTTCACTCCAAATGGTTGCAGTGGCAGATTTGAGCTGATCTGAAGCCGGGGAAGTAGAGCAGCTTGGGATACAAACCAGCACCCTTATGGGATGACCATGACGCTGGCGGAGGCATAAAGTACTGTTCTACAAGTCTGCCCCCTGTTAGCAGTTTCATTGTTTAAGTATTATTATAA